GGTACTGGCAGCGCCCGTCACTTTGACTACCACCCGACAACACTCCGCGTGAGCGACCACCGTCACCTCCAGCTCCAGGCCACCCGCGCGGGAGATGGCCGACCCGCCGCTGCTGCTGCTGCTGCTGCTGCGCCTGCTGCCGCTGCTGCTGCTGCGCCTGCTGCTGCTGCTGCTGCTAGTCCAGCTCCAGAGCTTGCTGCTGCTGCTGCTGCTGCTACTGCTGCTGTTGCTGCTGGGGCTGCTGCTTTGGGGCACCAGCCCCAGCCCCCTCATCAGTACTACCAGCGGGAGAGCCACCTCCACCACTGGCACCACCCCCTCCTCCGCTACCTCCGCCGGGCCCAGCCTTGGGGCGGTGACCCTTACCCGGAGGAAACTACACTGCAGTGGCTGTCTCCACAGCCGGAGCTGTCTCAGCAACCGCAGCAGGGTGGCAAGGGGCACAGCCGTGAAAGATAGAGACTGGCACGGTACCGCTAGACTAGGCGATAGAGTGCTGACACCTCTATGGCAGACAGGGTGTCGACAAAGTCAGTGAGGGTGAGGTCAGTGGGGTGGAGACTAAGGTAGTGATCGTGGGCAGTGGCAAGGCGGTTAAGGAGGCGGGTGCCAAGCAGGTAGAGGGTAGAGCACATGTGGGGCTGAAACATTCGAAGCTGAGTCTCAGTGCAGGCAGCACGCCAGGTCGTGACTAGCGGGCGCAGGTGGGCAGCCAGGTCAGCGACAGTGGGGAAAGACGCAAGGTCAAGAAAGAGCATGGGCAGGATCAGGCGACCTACAGAGCCAGAGGGCGTGGTGGAATAGCGCGCGACAACAGCCTCTAGGAACTCCTGCGCAGTCCTGACGGTCCTAAAGAGGGGGTGCTCGGACAGGGGAAGGGCATGACTAATCGCAAGCTGTGCGACAGTGTCACGCGACAACCTGAGAGCACGGGCAAGGGCAGCAGCTGCCGCGGACTCACGGCCAGCAGAGGTCGGGTCAGCGAGGAGGGCAGCAGGGGGGTCCGGGCAGGGGAGCGTACCATCGATGTGGACGGCGAGGGAGTGGCCGTCCTGCCGCTCACCAGTCAGGTCTCGCTAGAGGTCGACGAGCCATGAGTCGAACTCAATCGGCTGCCCCTCAGCATCAAAACGCAGGACCGAGTCCGCCATTATGGTTGCAGCAGCAGGAGAAAGACAGTACTGGGCAGGAGAGCTCGGCGGAAAGCAGTGATGTGGGGTGCGGTGCGGTACTGTGCAGTGGAGGGAGGAGCAGTACGGTAGGTTGCAGTGCAGTGCGGTGCAGGGCGGTGAAGTGCGGCGCAGTGTGGTGCTGAGCGGTGTCGGGAGGTGCGGCGCGAGGCAGGGGGGGCGAGGACGGCGGCGAGGCATCTAGAAGACGAGGCCGCTGGCGGCAAGGCGAAGGGGCCGGCAAAGAGGCGGGGCCGGCAGGGAGACGGGGCCGGCTGGCCGACGAGGCTGGCTAGGAGGCGGGGCCGGCTGGGGAGGGGGGGGGGGGGCGGCTAGGAGGGGGGCCGCGAGGTGACGGGGCCGCGGGGCCGCTAGGGGAGGGGGCCGCGGGGCCGCTAGGGGAGGGGGCCGCGGGGCCGCTAGGGGACGGGGCCGCGGGGCCGCTAGGTGACGGGATCGCAGGGCCGCTAGGTGACGGGGCCGCGGGGCCGCTAGGGGACGGGGCCGCGGGGCCGCTAGGGGACGGGGCCGCGGGGCCGCTTGGTGACGGGGCCGCGGGGCCGCTTGGTGACGGGGCCGCGGGGCCGCTAGGAGACGGGGCCGCGGGGCCGCTAGGTGACGGGGCCGCGGGGCCGCTAGGTGACGGGGCCGCGGGGCCGCTAGGTGACTGGGCCACGAGGCCGCTAGGGGACTGGGCCGAGGGGCCGCTAGGTGACGGGGCCGCCGAGCCGCGAGGTGACGGGGCCGCGGGGCCGCTAGGGGACGGGGCCGCGGGGCGACGAGGCGGTTAGGACCTAGGTTGGAAGCGCTAGGGGGCAGGGTGCCGTGGGGGAGGACCTCCCTACTGATGATACCATGTTCAAGTGAAATAATGTCTAGAACAAGGCATACAAAGGAATATAACCTAATGGGTTGTACTCCCTAAAGCAAAACCCTCTATAGTCTATAGAAACATACAAGATATGTTTGACAAGGCGAGGGGGCAAGCGGGCGGGCGAGCGGGCGAGCAGGTAAGCTGACGAGCAGGCGAGCATGCGGGCTGGCAGGAGGTGGGATGGCTACGAACTAAGGCGTTGGCGGGCGCGGGCTGTCTGGTGAGCTGGCTAACGGGCTGGCTAACAGGCTGGCTAGCTAGCTGAAGTGTTGGCTGGCGAGCTCGCTAGTGTGCGGGCTGGCGTGTTCGCTTGCTGACTACCGCACGAAGAAATCGAACACTAGGGGGGGGGGGGGGGGGGGGGGGGGGGAGCCTCGAGGCTACGAAGCGCGAAATTGGAGGGCAAGGGGGTGCGCGAAATGGAAAGAGTGTCACACGTGCGAAAATAGAAGCTACAGTTACGGCGGAAGCGTGACTAACGACAGAAGCATGAGGAACGTCGGAAAAAAAAAACTAACCTAGTTGAATACCATATTAGAGTAGCGGGAAAAATGGTGACTAAGGGAAAATGCCGAGGGATACAAAACTAGGATTGTACTCCCTAAGAACTAAACTACCTAGGCTATAAACAAATATGACCTAGCTAATCTATGTAAATGTATTTGTTGATAGCATTCTTCGTCAATATTCGCACTTTGCCCTCATCGTTTGCTGTCGCAAGAGGTGAACGAAGAGGCGATCGAGGTCAGCTTTGTTGATCAACATCCCACCGACATCAACCACTGAGACCAACGATTGATAGGAAAACCCTCTCAGACTCGGCAAAATACGCCTAAGTGACGAGAGTGCCGCGCGTGTCGCACAACTCTAAACCGATTTGAAACAGCTCGCGTCAAACTTGCACTGCACAGTGACGCACGAGTCTGATGAGGGGTACTAGGGAGCCAAAATTGTATCAGGGTAGCCCAAATTGTAGGTCTGATTTGTCAGGCTTGAATTTTTTTGGGCCTGAAAATACATGCCACTTCCAAACCCCTGTCAACTTATACATATATTGTTATGTAGAAATTATAGGCTAGATAGGGTATATTCTTAGTGGGTACAGCCCAAACGCTATATCTCCCCTTGTTCTCCCTTCTTCTAACCATTCCTTATAGTCTTAACATGGTATCACGAGTAGGTAGGTCCACCCACCCGCTTCCGCCCCGTGCTACCACCTACCGGACCCTCGCGCCCCTAGCTGGCCCCGCGCGCCCCTACGGCCCCGTCGCGCCCCTAGCAGGCCCCGTCGCGCCCTTACGGCCCCGCGGTGCCTTTATGGCCCCGTCGCACGCCTACGGCCCCGTCACGCCCCTAGCAGGCCCCGTCGAGCCCCTACGGCCTCGTCGCGCCCCTACAGCCCCTTGCGCCCCTAGCCGGCCCCGTCGCGCCCCTGGCTAGCCCCGTCATGCCCCTACGGCCCCGTCGCGCAAATCCGGGCCTGGCGCACCCCTACGGCCCCGTCGCGCCCCTAGCCGGCCCCGTCGCGCCCCTACCGGCCCCGTCGCGCCCCTACCGGCCCCTTGCGCCCCTAGCCGGCCCTGCGCGCCACCACGGCCCCGTCACGCCCCTAAAGGCCCCTCGCGCCCCTAGTCGGCCCTGTCGCGCCCCTACCGGCCCCTCACGCCCCTAACCGGCCCCTCGCACCCCTACAGCCCCTCGTGCTCCTACTGCCCCCCCCCGCGTCCCTAGCCGGCCCCACGCGCCCTTGCCAGCCCCGCTCGCCATAGCCGGCCCCTTGTGGCCTAGCCGGCCCCTTGCAACCTAGCCGGCCTCGTCGCCTGAGACGCCGAGCCGCCGTGTCCCCGAGCCTCCGAGCACCCGCGCCGTCGAGCAGCCGTGCCGCCGAGCCGCCGTGCCACCGAGCCGCCGCGCCGCCGAGCCGCCGAGCCACCGTGCCGCCGAGCCGTCGAGCAGCCGTGCCGCCGTGTCCCCGAGCCGCCGCCCCGCCGAGCCGCCGAGTCACTGCGCCGCTGAGCCGCTGTGCCGCTGTCACACTGTGCTATGGCGAACGCCGTTCTTCGCTTGGACGCTGAGGGGCAAGCGATCGACTTAGCCGCCTGGCTCGTTGACCTCCGCCGGCACCTGACAGGTCAGCGCCAGGATGGGCACTCCCTGGCTATACATGTTGATGGTTTGCTTCCCCGCCCCCCTGCGCCTGATCCCCTCCCTGCTGACCCTACCACTGGTGAGAGCAAGGCTTTTGCTACTGCTGCGCTTGCTCGAGCTGTCTGGGATTCTCGCGACACAGTAGCCCAGCTTGCCATTAGCCATGCCCTCCCCCTGTCTGAGCGTCCACGCTTTACCGCTGTCGCGAACGCCAAGGAATTTCTTGTTGTAGTAGTTGAGCGTTACTCCACACGTGCTTCCGCCTGTGGTCGAAAGGTGAGCCTCGCGACATCTAAATTCTCCGTAAGAATGTTTCGAACATGTACAGAAAACGTAAAAGGTACGTGTTTGGGAAAAATGAACGAGCTGGATACGCCCTAAAAGCTGATGCTGGGTTCGGGGATGGAATCAGGATTCAATACGATATACAGTGGTGTTTTGTTTTTCTAGGTGGAATCTCGTATTGGAAATTGGAATGGTTCAATGTGGGCGTTAGGTGAAACATACCACGAGAGTTACAATACAACACGTGCTCAATCGCATTGTATGCGTGGTACATTCAGTGAAACGGGTAGCTCTAGACCGAAGCGAGTCATGCGGCATGGATACCACTATGGCGTGGCCTCAGCAGACTGCCTTCCAATCCCGCCATGCCACCCCCCCCCAACCACGGCGCCCTCCCGCTCCTCCGCTTTCGGCCCGCCCACCTCCGGACCCGCCTCGCGCCGGGCCAAGCGGGGGGAGTTCGGCCGTCGGATCGCGTTGATCAGCGCATGCGTCTTCCTGCTGCTATGGCTCGCCACATGGCTCCACGACGACTCTGACGCTAGCTTCAGAGAATCTGGCCACGTGGTGACTCAGAGCGATGACGGTGACGGTGATGTGACTGTAGCGAGTACAACTCCGCATTCCCCGCCACGGTTCGTGCTCTACCGCATGATCGGCAATGACATTCCGCCACTGCAGTGCGCGGGGCAACTTTACGAGAACACGCTGTACGCGTTACAGCACGAGCCGAGGTGGCTGGCAGGGTGTCGGCGCGTGTGGGTGGTGAACAACGTGGTGAACGAGACGGCGGAGCGGCGGGTGGTGCGCGCACTCAAGGCGCACGGGTACGGCGACGAGGTGAGGGGGGAGAAAAGGGGGGGGGGGGAGGGGGAGATGGATGAGAGTCAGAGCGAGCGATGAGAGAGAGGGTGAGAGAAGGAGGTGGGGGGTAAAGCGGCGAGGGGGCAACAGAGAGAGCGGCACTGTCAGGTGTCAGGGATAGTCCAGCATCGCACTCGCCACTTTTCATTCCCGACCCCAGCCGCCTTTGCATACATCCATGGCTGCTGATCAAGCCCGCATTGTTTGTCCTGCGCGAGTTGTCTCCACTCGCCTCGTTGTCAGCATCGTCCTGCTTGATAATCGCAATCTCCCCGCTTCCTCTACTCAAAGCAGGTCTCTCGTCCATCTTTTCTCACCTTATCGACCCCCCCCCCACTCACTCCCTCCCCGTTCTCTCTCACTCTCTCTCTCTCTCTCTCTCTCTCTCTCTCTCTCTCTCACACTCTCTCTCTCTCTCTCTCTCTCTCTCTTTTTCTCTCTCTCTCTCTCTCTCTCTCTCTCTCTCTCTCTCTCTCTCTCTCTCTCTCTCTCTCTCTCTCTCTCTCTCCCCACTCAATCCCTCCACCTCTTTCTTCCTTCTCACTCTCCTCCTTTCGTCAGGTATACTGCTTGCTCCTCGCCCCTTCGTACCTCTCATCTCCCCCCCTCGTCGTTCAATGCCCTCCGCACGTGGCCTCACTCCCCGGCCCCTAGGCATCAGGAAATCATAGTGCGCAGGGTCAACTACACGCACGTGGCGCAGCTGCCACATGACAAATGGGGTGCAGCCGTGTCAGGTGGGTGCAGCAGTGGCAGGTGGGTGCAGCAGTGGCAGGTGGGTGCAGCAGTGGCAGGTGGGTGCAGCAGTGGCAGGTGGGTGCAGCAGTGGCAGGTGGGTGCAGCAGTGGCAGGTGGGTGCAGCAGTGGCAGGTGGGTGCAGCAGTGGCACGTGGGTGCAGCAGTGGCAGGTCCTTGCCTCATCCTCATGCGTTGCCTCCTTTGCTGTTGAGGTGAGGATCATCAGGCAGGCACCACAAGAAACTTTTTTTTACATCCCATGATGCTTGATTTGCTCTTGAACGACGGGAAGTGGGGTTTGGTCGCATGGAGTGCATTTTGGTTGAGTTGTGCAACCATTGGGCTTGTCGCACCATGTTCCCCCCAAGTCGTGTACCAGCGAGGTGAGACGTGGCCCTCGCGCGATGTTTCAAACTGTCGCAATCCGTTTTTTCTTTCTTTCTTTCTTTTTCTTTTTCTTTCTTTCGTTTCGTTCGGTAGAAAGTGCTCCAGGTCGGGCCGTTTATTCTGACCCCCAAAAACCAGAGTTTTCAAGAGCGCCCAGGGTGTGCTATTCTAGCCTGTGGTTTAAAAATTCAATAAGACTGTTATTTCGTAGTGTTTTCTCGAATACAACATAAATACCTCAGATATAACTATACATAAAAATTTGTGCAATGCACAGCAAATAACCCTTATTTCCACCTAGCCTCCACTCGGGCAATTTATTCACCAGCCTACTACACATCAATGGGAGCACCTATAAGGTTCAGTCATGAAGCCAAATGACTAAAGTCGATCTTTGTCGAAAGGCACCTCAATCCTCGCATGAGTGGATCTTTGGCATCAGCCTGCTAGTCTGGCAGCCAGACCACTGTCTCCAGCCCTCCCTGCTCCGCCCGCCACACTGCAGCCTCCACCAGTAAGTCATCCTCCTCCATGCCTCCCGTAACCCCCACACCCCCATCTCAAGCACTCTGTCAGTTGATGCACCTCAATCCTCACATGTGTTTTTGTTATCTGCTTGCCAGTCCAGCAGCCAGTCCAGCGTCTCCAGCCCGCCCTGCTCTGCCAGCCATGCAGCTGCCTCCACAAGCAACTCATCCTCCCCTGCCCCAGCCCCTTCGCGCCCCGCGCTTTCCATCCTTGTGAACTTCGCTGCAGGGTTTTGCGCAGCAGGGCTCCACAACTCAGGGTTGAGCACCTCAACTTTACATGTCACAGGGTTTAGGAAAGCAGAATGTGTAACTGCTGGCTGAGGGGAGGAGCAGTGTATGCAAATTGTGTGTGGTAGGCACTGCTGCATGGCCGAATGTTAGTGGTCAAAGGAGGTAACAGGGGCTCTGGAAGTGTATCTACAGGCTCCGGGTTTGCCTGGTGCAACTGAGTTTCAGACTGCCCTTGCACCAAAGCGTCGGGCATCACTTGAGGCACCATCAGCTGATGTACTGGCAGCAGCAGCTGCTGCTGCTGCTGCTGCCTGCCCTCTCCTTGGAATTGTTTCTGAGGCGCCTCAAATTTCGTCTGAAGTACCGTCGTCTGAAGATGCTGCTGGAGCTGCTGCTGCTGCTGCTGCTGCCCAGCCAAACCCTTGCGACTGCAGGCAGCAGCATGTGCAGCACGGTGCTGCCACAGTAGGCAGCTCAAGAGCGGACGGCACCACTGCAACAGGCGGACGCACTCCAACGGGCTGTCCCCAATTCTGCGGCACAGCAAGAGGTGAGGTGCAATGCGGCGCTGGTTGTGGCGATGCAACAGTGCCGCAATGCGGCACTGCTGCTGGATAAGGGGTGTGGGGCGAGATAGGAGCCAGAGGAGGGGACAGAAGGGGAAGGGTCTGGTTCAACGTCTGCGTCTGCGTCTGAGTTTGATTTTGAGTTTGCTTTTGAGCCACAGCAGCGTGTGTGTGTGGCTGTGAGCCGTGCAGCAGCTGACATGGCACCAGGTCCTCCAACAGCCCCTGCACCTGACGTGGTGCTGTGTCATACTCGTGGCAATCTGCCTCAGTAGTGTGCATCCACGGGGTTTTCTGAGGCGCCTCAAATGCCTGAGGCACAATTTCAGCCACAGAAATCCGGTTCTGCAGGGGGGCAAATTCCACAGCCCCACCCGCATTGGTGGTGCTGCTGCTCCTGCTGATGTTCGTGCCACCACTGCCACCAGTCATCACATTGCCACACGTGTCACTCCCACCGCCACCGACCCTAGTCATAGCCCCGCCATACGCATTCCTCTCACTGCTCCAGTTGTAACCAGCATTGTAGTTACCAGCGTCGTTGTTACCAGACTTGTTGTTACCAGCGTTGGCTCCAGCGTTGTTGCTGCAGCTGCTGCCGCTGCTCATACTGCTGCCGTCGCTGGGGGGGCTTGAAGAGAGGTCCGCGCGATTGAGGTTCGCTCGGAGCACGCTGAGCAGCAGAGACTGAGATTCGCCTCCTGGCATGATGCTTGATGGGGGTGGTGAAACCATGTGAGTATCGGCACCCAGTATACCGACACCAACGGGAGCACCTTTGGCAGCAGTGGAAACAGCCAAATGGGCTAATGAAGAGAGCAGGTTGAGTGGCTGCTGCTGCTGGGGCTGCTGCTGCTGCTGCTCCTGCTGCTGCTGATGGTAGTGATGCTGTTGCTGTAGTGGCTGTTGCTGATGCTGGTGAGCATACCATTGTTGCTACTGCTGCTGCTGCAGCTGTTGCTGCTGTGACTGCGGCGGCGTTTTCTGCTGGTGGTGCCACTGTGTCGGCTGCTGCTGCTGCGGCTGTTGCTGCACCGCACTGCACCGTCCAGCATCCCTCCAGCCCTGCGGGTCCTCTGGGCTGGTCCATGGGAAGCCCCGGTCATCGGGAGGCGAGAAACTCATCTTAACCTTCTGCTGCTGCTGCTGCTGCTGCTGCTGCTGCTGCTGCTGCTGCTGTCGTCCAGCATCCGTCCAGCCCTGCTGGTCCCCCGGCTTATTGTTCCACAGAGAGCAGCGATCAGCAGGAGGCGAGACACTCATCTCACACGGCTTGGGAGGCGGGGAGGAGCCAAAGGCGTGAGGGGCAAGAGGCGGATGAGAGGCAAGAGACGAATGAGAGGCAAGAGTCGCATGAGAGGCATGAAACACATGGGTGGCTTGGAATGTTTGGGACGTGGGAGATGCATGGGAGGCATCGAAGTCATGTGAAGCACGACGGGCATGAGGGGAATGCGAGGCATGCCAGGGAATGCACGGGTCAGAGAGCAGGGAGTCGTCTTCTCTTGATCGCTTTCCCAGGGAGGGTGATGTGGACGTGGGTGAGAGCTGCTGGGTCAGACAGCACGGGGCGGAGTTGGACTGGTGCGCTGCTCCACACTCGTCTTGCTGCTGCTGCTGCTGCTGCTGCTGCTGCTGCTGCTGCTGCTGTGCTGGTTGTGGTGCGCACATTGCTTCTGGGAGCTGCAAAGGGCCGGGATTCACGTTCCCAGGCTGGTGGCATGGCGCACTGACATGCTGTTGCTGCTGCATTTGCTGCTGCTGCTGCTGCTGCTGCGCCAAGTGCTGCAAATGCTGCTGCAACAGATTCTGTGGCTGGGGCTGCGGCTGCAGCTGCTGTTTCAACCACTCGTTCTCAGCTATACCACATGCACCCTGCTCGTCACCGCCACTCTCTGGAGCAGCCGCAGATGTTTCACTCACCGGCTCGAATGGTGCTGCTGACACCGCAAGCTGGAGGCTGATGGGCATGTCAGTGTGGTTGTGCTTGTTCAGGTATGTCACTCGGAACAGCAGAATAGACGCAGGGGCCTTGCCACCTGCCTGGCTCTGTGCTGGCAATTCACTGTCGGGCGGCGGCTGGGCGGCAGGGGTGCAAAGCCCTAGCTGCCAGTCGACGCGCTTACGAGCTGGGCACGGCTGGAATAAAGAGGGGGGAGGGGCCGTGGGGGTGGTGGGGTTGGCGGCAGTGCCTGCAGCAGCGGCAGCAGCGGCATCAAGAGCAGCAGTGGCAGCAACAACCGTATCAGCCTTGGAATGAGTGTCAGCATCAGAAGCATCTGACGCTGCGGCGGCAGCAGCAGCAGCAGTAGCAGGAGCAGCAGCATCATCAGGAGCAGCAGCAGCATCAGGAGCAGCAGCAGCATCAGGAGCCACAGCAGTAGCAGGAGGCAGCTGCTCCGTCGATACGGAAGGTGATGCCGGTGCTGCCGCTGCTGCTGCTGCTGCTGCTTCTGCTGGTGGTACTGGTGTTGCTGATGATGCCGCTGGTGATGCTCCTGTGTCGTCCTGGTGGCTTGTGTCGCTGGCTGGCTGGGCAATGCACGTGGACCGAGCACAGCGGAAGTACGACCTGTAGAGGGGAGAGCACAGGGAGAGCAGGGGGGAGGAGGGGGGGTTGGAAGGGGGACAGGACGAGTCTGGCTTAAAGCCGAATCAACAGCAGGCTGGCGTTGCTGGCAGGCTGGGAATTCAGGTGGAGCGAGCACAGTGGAAGTAAGACCGGAGGAGGCGGGATGGGAGCAGGGGGGCGAGAGGAGACGATGAGATGACAAGGGGATGAGAAGCAATGGGAAGTGACAAGGCGTAACGGAAGAGAAAGGGAGGTCACAGGGGTACGGGGCCAGGAAGGGAGGAGGTAAGTGCATTGATGCAATGCGCACTGCGGACTCCACTGCATTGCAATGCTTTGAAGCCTCAAATCCTTTAAATGGCCACACTGCACTGTGCTGTGCTGTGCTGTGCGGTGCTGGAGCTGAACCCTTCACCAGTTGCACCTGCGATCCGAGGGTGCATCTAACTACTAACCTCAATGCAGGGCAACGTCATCATCAATGGAAGCAGTTTCAACATACCTGTGGCAGTTGGATTTCACGAGCCTCTTCTCCCCATACTTGAGCCAGCAGTGCCCATTATCCGGCATCACCTCCTCTGGCACACGCCTCAGCTGCTCCGAGTTCACCGCCGCCCACTGCGGGAACAATGCACCCTGACCCGCCGCACTGCACGCTGCCGGCACCGCCGCCGCCGCGGCCGCATAGCTCCCCATGGCCGTGGCCGCTGCATACTTGCCGCCTTGGGGCAGCCCGCCAGGCAGATTCGCTGTGGCGGTGTTACCACCAAAGGTGTTACTAAGATCCGTGCCGCACCCAGCAGTACTAGGACCACCAGCTGGGGTAGCTGGATGCCTCGGCGCCAAGTGACTGCTGGTTGCAGGGGGGGGAGAACTGGCGGCGGTAGCCCCAGTGTGGTTGTGGTTGCTGCCGTGCCTGGGTGTCATGATAGTAGCGGCCGTTGGAAGATCCACAGCCATAAAACAACAGCCTCTACTAGCAGTAGAGGCGAGTGGCTGTGGTGGTGTTACCACTAATCGCTGAGTGCGATTCAGATGTCACTCTCACTGAGAGAACTTGCAAGAATCCGACGCAAAGGAAGAGTCTGAGACTCTTAGGAGCGGTTCACATGTCAGACAGACGATCATCTAGTGCTGCCTCATCTTAGGAACCCCTCGAGATCTACTTGAGGTCTTAGCGCGTTTGCATCCAGGCCAGATCGGCTCCAGGCGGCTGTGAATCCAAAGCACTCATCTAGTAGTAGTGCTGGCCGCAGCAGACTGTTATGGTTGAAACGCGGGAGGAGCCTACTACTACTATTAATAGTAGTAGCCGCGTTACAGTAGAGGCGATGCGCGTCTGGAAAGGGTCCGGGTTCGCCGCGTCTGCGCCACTGGGGAAAGAGGGACATCACAAAATCCCTGACCTTATATTGGTCCAAAATTGGTCCAACCTTGGTCCCTTTGACCAATATTGGACCATTTCTGGTCTACTAGTTTGGTCCAAGTCTGGAATCGTTGCAAGGTCAAACTCAATACAGATTTTGGCCAAAATCCGTCTTGCATACAAGGCCAAGCCAGGACTCACTTTGGTCTCACTTTGGTATTGATCAGGACTCAAACAAGCTCTAACCTGGTCCAAAGCCAGGAGCATGTCAGTCTCATATCATTCTTGGTTTAGGGAGTAGTGGGAATGGCATGATTATATTAAATGTTATATAATAAATACAACTACGAACGATCACCCTGCCTACACTCTGATCTCCCGATAGGTCAATCCACACTACACTGCTGTCACACTGCTACAGTGGTGTCTTCTACCACCTCCTGAACCCTCCCATCCATTCTCCTCACTGCTTCCATCCATTCTCCACTTCTGCTGCTGCCGCTCCTCCCATCCTTTCGCCACTTCTACTCCTGCAGCTCCTCCCATCTATTCTCCTATCCTACTGCCGCCGCTCTTCCCTTCTACTCTCCACTCCTACTGCTGTCGCTCCTACCATCCGTTCTCCACTCCTATTCCTGCCGCTCCACCCATCCCTACTCCTACTGTTGTCTCTCCTCCCATCCACTCTCCACTCCTACTGCTGCCGCTCCTCCCATCCATTCACCATGCATACTGCTGCCACTCCACCCATCCATTCTCCATTTCTAATGCTGCCGCTCCTCCCATCCATTCTCCACTCCTACTGCTGCCGCTCCCATCCATTCTCCACTCCTACTGCTGCCACTCCCATCCATTCTCCACTCCTACTACTACAGCTCCTCCCATCCATTCCACACTCCTACTGCTGCTGCTCCTCCCATCCATTCACCATGCATACTGCTGCCGCTCCTCCCATCCATTCTCCACACTTACTGCTGCCCTCCTACCATCCGTTCTCCACTCCTACTGCTGTCGCTCCTCCCATCCATTCTCCACTCCTACTGCTGCCACTCATCCCATCCATTCTCCACTTCTACTGCTGCCGCCCCTCCCATCCATTCTCCACTCCTACTGCTACAGGTCCTCCCATTCTACATCTCCTACTGCTGCCGCTCCTCCCTTCCACTCTCCACTCCAACTGCTGCCACTCCTCCCTTCCACTCTCCACTCCTACTGCTGCCTCTCCTCCCTTCCACTCTCCACTTCTACTGCTGCCGCTCCTCCCATCCGTTCACCATGCCTACTGCTGCCGCTCCTCCCCTCCATTCTATACTCCTACTGCTGCCACTCCTCTCTTCCACTCTCCACTTCTACTGCTGCCGCTCCTCCCATCCATTCTCCACTCCTACTGCTGTCGCTCCTCCCATCCATTTACCATGCATACTGCTGCTGCTCTTCCCATCCATTCTCTACTTCTACTGCTGCCACTCCCCCCTTCCACTCTCCACTCCCACTGCTGCAGCTCCTACCATCCCTTCTCTACTCCTACTGCTTCCTCTCCCCCTTCCACTCTCCACTTCTACTGCTGCCCTTCCTCCCATCCGTTCACCATGCATACTGTTGTCGCTCCTCCCTTCCACTCTCCACTCCTACTGCTGCCACTCCTCCCTTCCACTCTCCACTGCTACTGCTGCCGCTCATACCATCCAATCTCCACTCCTATTGCTGCCACTCCTCCCATCCATTCTCCACTCACTGCTGCCGCTCCTCTCATCCAGACCCATTCCACTCAGCGTTCTCCACCCTCTGCTGCCGCTCCTCCCAACAAGCCCAAGTGTCCTACCCACTCCAATCACACTTCTGCTGCTCCTCCCCGCAAAACCCAGCGCTCCTCCCCACTCCCATCGCAACTAACAAAAGCGCCTGCAGCCACCGCACTAACCACTGCTGCCCCTCCCATCAGTACCCTCGATTCCTTGCATTCTCCCCTCACACGACTGATTCTCTTTACACGAAGGCTGTAAACTTCTGCACCGACAGCATGAGTCTTCAATTCTGTACTCACACCATCAGTGCTCACTGCAGTCTCTCTGCTGCTAGTTTCCCTCAGCAATGCCCATTGCTCATGCACTCAGTACAGTCACCCTCCTGCCACACCCATCAAAACAACCCACTGCTCCTGCAGTTGCCACATTCACACTACCAATAGCTGCCCGATTCAAGGCCTCCTTCCTGCCCTCTCGACAATCGCAACACCACCCTCTCTGTTCAATGCCCGTGCACCCACTCCCCTCTGTTCTCTTCAGCGTCCTCTGTTTGCTCCTAACCACGCTCCCCCCACTGCCCTCTGCCCAAAACCCTCTTTCTAGTGTCTTCATTAATGCCAACCCATCTCCAACCTGGTGCTACTCCCTCCCACTTGCTGCACATGGTGCGCTATCAGCCCATACCCCCACCAGATATCCCCACTGCTTCCATGCTACAGAAGCCCTCACACGCATCCCCAACTCTCATCACCCCCAGCATAACGCACTAGTTACCCGGGAGTCGCGGCAGGGGGGCCTGCACAGGAGCTTGCGCGGGGGCCTGCGCAGGGGCTTGCACGTGTTGCCCTCCAGCCTGCAAAGGCAACATATCAGAAATCAGCAGGAGCAGGGTGTGCAGGAAGTGGTAACAACACGACAACTGAAGCACCAAAGGCATGCACTATGCGAGATGTCCTACCTGAACGCGGGCAACAAGGGGCCCAAAATCGGATGCGTCGATGTAGGTCGAGTACGGGAAGTTGAAGGTGTTGGTGTTCCCTGCATAGGGAACACCCAGGTTGAGCACTGCATGCTCAACCCACCTCTTCACCAGCTGGCACATCTCCTCTTACTTCAGGCGATTGACCTCCCACTTGGTGTTCAGCTTTCCGTCCGGGGCGTTGTTCAGGATGGGGATTTTCCAACTAGCATAAGATAGTTGGAAAAAGGCACAATAGGGTAATGAATACAGTTCGATGATGGTATAGTCAAAGAGAACGTGTGTGAGCACGAAGGCCAGGTTGCAGTGGAGCAAGAGACGGAACAACATTCACAATCATACCCACGCATTTAAGCCCACCAATACGTACACCGTACAGTACCCACGCCAGTTGACGACTCTTGATCTTCACGGTGTTCACCCCACGCCGAGTAAGGGCCAGCTTGAGGGAGATTGAGCATATCAGCGTGGCAAAGGGGCAGCCCCCCTCGACGTGCCATGCCAAACCCCACTGAGCTGCAAGTTATAGAAAGGAGGGGTGGCTCCAAGGGGGTGGGTGGAATAGAGATGGACCATTAGAGCACCACACAACCCATGCTGAATAGATCCCACAAAACCTGACATAAGGAACATGGTGCTTACCATTGAAGAAGCGTTCCTTCATCTCCTCGTCTGTGTAGAAGACGACAGGAACCTTAAGCTCCGAAGGCAGCTTATTCAGGTAACACCTGTTACCTTGCCTCCCCAATGCTGTAAAGGCCACTTTGCGCATGGTCCCGTTAATGGTGGTTCGGGTTGATGAGAGTTGCTCGAAGAAAACGCCACGTGTGCTGGGGTCGTTGTGCTCAAACAGCTTGCGCATCGACTTGAGAGCTTGGACCGGGACAAACTCTGCGAACCCGAGATCAAGCGCCTCATCCGCCGACGGATAGAACTGGATCTTGGACGCCTCGATGTTAAAACACAGATGAGTGGCCACACGCCTTGACAGGTCCTGTTTTGGGTCGGTGGAAGGGGCGGGAACAGGATGGAGAGTTTGGAAAAATCCACGAAACTGAACCAATACCATGAGGAGGAGGAAAGACAGGGGACGGATAACAGTGAAAGGAGGAGAAACGGAGGACAGTGGAGGGAGGACGGTGGAGGGAGGAAAAATGAGGGAGGACAGAGGAGGGAGGACGGTGGAGGGAGGACAGAGGAGGGAGGTAAATGGAGGGAAGACAGAGGGAGGACATAGTTTATGGTGGGCAGAGGGTAGAGGACAATGGAGGGAGGAAAACAGAGAGAGGACAAAGGGAGGACGGTGGAGAAAGGACAGTGGAGGGAGGATAGTCGAGGGAGGACAGAGGAGGGAGGACAGAGGAGGGAGGACAGTGGAGGGAGGTAAATGGAGGGAGGACGGAGGGAGGACATAGTTTAGGGTGGACAGAGGATAGACGACAATGGAGGGAGGACAGCGGAAGGAGGACAGTGGAGGGAGGACAGTGGAGGGAGGACTTTGGAAGGAGGACAGTGGAGGTCGGACAGTGGAGGGAGGACGGAGGGGGAGGACAGAGGAGAGATGACAGTGGAGGGAGGACAGTGAAGGGAGGACAGAGGAGGGAGGACAAAGGAGAGAGGACAGTGGATGGAGAGGATTGGCGATGACGGAGGACAGAGGAGGGCGGACAAAGGGGAGAGGACAATGAAGGGAGGACAGATGGAGGACGGTGGAGGGAGGACAGAAGAAGGAGGATAGTGCAGGGAGGACAGTGGAGGGAGGACAGAGGAGAGAGGACACTGGAGGGAGGACAGTGGAGGGAGGACAGAGGAGGGAGGACAGAGGGAGGACGGTGGAGGGAGGAGAGAGGAGGGAGGACAGAGGAGAGAGGACAGCAGGTGGAGAACAAAGGAGGAAGGACATAGGACGGGGAAAAGAGAGAAGTGAGGAGGAAAGGGGGGGCTGGGAACATGGGGGTGTGAGAGCGTCTGGGGGTGGATGTCCAATTTAAGGGAGGGGTGGGAGAGGAGATTGTATGCCAGGATGCATGTGCAAGGCTCAACACCTATCACCAAACACATGAAATTAGCCCAACCCTCCTCGGTGTCACACCACGTACCTTGAAGTCGACAACAACTTTAAAAACCAGGTCGCGATGGTTCACCAGCGGGCTATTCAGCTCCCCGCCAACAGCCGACATGCTCTGACTGGGGCCAGCCACGGGTGCATCCATTGCATTGGCTACAGCCCCTGCGATTTGCAGATCAGTGCCAGGCACTTGCGCAAGCAATCGTCCAACTTCGGCGATGAAACGCTTCTCTAGCCTCGCAAGATCAGCCTTGCTGGCTACACCCTTCGGCTCGTGCGGGTCCACGCAGGGGGTGCTCATGGACGGCCCAAATGCAATCTTAGAAAGGGCTTACCTTCCGAGGATCCCTCGACCACCTTTTCCTTCCCTTTGCTGAGGAGCTTCAGTCCTGGAGAGCACGGTACAATAGGAGGATATAGAGTTAGGAGCGGGGAATTAGGAGAGTGAGGCGGTTGCACAAGCTGTCATCTTGGTGCAGGACAGGCATGACGAAGGAGAGAAGAGGTGGAGGTGGGGAAGGGGGGGAGTGATGTCACACAAAGTAATTCCCAAAGCTGAAAAGGGGTACACTAGTACAATATGCGTGAGTGCTTACCTCCCGAGGATCCCTCAACCACCTTTTCCTTCCCCTTGCTGGCGTGCTTAGCATCTGTGGGTAAGAGGAGAGAGAAGAGAGGAACGGGAGTGGAGGTCAGCGTGTGGGAGGCATGGATGAAGCGAGGAGTGATGCCACGTATGTGGAATCAGGATTCAATACGATATACAGTGTGTTTTGTTGTTCTAGGTGGAATCTCGTATTGGAAATTGGAATGGTTCAATGTGGGCGTTATGTGAAACATACCACGAGAGTTACAATACAACACGTGCTCAATCGCATTGTACGCGTGGTACATTCCGTGAAACGGGTAGCTCTAGACCGAAGCGAGTCATGCGGCGTGGATACCACTATGGCGTGGCCTCAGCAGACTGCCTTCCAATCCCGCCATGCCACCCACCGCAACCACGGCGCCCTCCCACTCCTCCGCTTTCGGCCCGCCCACCTCCGCACCCGCCTTGCGGCCCTCGCGCTGGGCCAAGCGGGGGGAGTTCGGCCGTCGGATCGGGTTGATTGGCGCGTGCGTCTTCCTGCTGCTGTGGCTCGCCACGTGGCTCCACGACGACTCTGACGCTAGCTTCAGAGAATCTGGCCACGTGGTGACTCAGAGTAATGACGGTGACGGTGATGTGACTGTAGCGAGTACAACTCAGCATTCCCCGCCGCGGTTCGTGCTCTACCGCATCATTGGCAGCGACATTCAGCCACTGCAGTGCGCGGGGCAACTGTACGAGAACACGCTGTACGCGTTACAGCACGAGCCGAGGCGGCTGGCGGGGTGTCGGTGCGTGTGGGTGGTGAACAACGTGATGAACGAGACGGCGGAGCAGCGGGTGGTGCGCGCACTCAAGGCGCATGGGTACGGCGACGAGGTGAGGGGGGAGAAAAGGGGGGGGGGGGGAGGGGGGAGATGGATGAGAGTCAGAGCGAGCGATGACAGAGAGGGTGAGAGAAGGAGGTGGGGGGTAAAGCGGCGAGGGGGCAACAGAGAGAGCGGCACTGTCAGGTGTCGGGGATAGTCCAGCATCGCACTCGCCTCCTTTCATTCCCGACCCCAGTCGCCTTTGCATACATCCATGGCTGCTTGTCAAGCCCGCATTGTTTGTCCTGCGCGAGTTGTCTCCACTCGCCTCGTTGTCAGCATCGTCCTGCTTGATAATCGCAATCTCCCCGCCTCCTCTACTCAAAGCAGGTCTCTCGTCCATCTTTTCTCACCTTATCGACCCCCCCCCCCCACTCACTCCCTCCCCGTTCTCTCTCACTCTCTCTCTCTCTCTCTCTCTCTCTCTCTCTCTCTCTCTCTCTCTCTCTCTCTCTCTCTCTCTCTCACTCTCTCTCTCTCTCTCCCCACTCAATCCCTCCACCTCATTCTCCCTTCTCACTCTCCTCCTTTCGTCAGCTATACTGCTTGCTCCTCGCCCTTTCGTACCTCTCATCTCCCCCCCTCGTCGTTCAATGCCCTCCGCGCGTGGCCTCACTCCCCGGCCCCTGGGCATCAGGACATCATAGTGCGCAGGGTCAACTACATGCACGAGCCGCAGCTGCCACATGACAAATGGGGTGCAGCCGTGTCACGTGGGTGCAGCAGTGGCAGGTGGGTGAAGCAGTGGCAGGTGGGTGCAGCAGTGGCAGGTGGGTGCAGCAGTGGCAGTGGGTGCAGCAGTGGCAGGTGGATGCAGCAGTGGCAGGTCCTTGCCTCATCCTCATGCGTTGTCTCCTTTGCTGTTGAGGTGAGGATCATCAGGCAGGCATCACAAGAAACTTTTTTCTTACATCCCATGATGCTTGATTTGAGAGCTTTTACTGAGTTCTGTGGCACCTTCTCACCTTTAACTGGCATCTATGCTGCCGTGTCTCTCCATCTCCATCACCTAAGCATACTCCACCTGCCATCCTGCTTCTCCCCCTGCGTTCTTTCCTCTGCATCCCCGCTGCGACCCTCCTCTGCCCCATGAACCAAGCCCCATCACCCCCTGCTGTCTCCGCCCTCCCCATCCACTGCCTTTACGCTCTCCCCCCCCCCAACATGTGCAGTGCAAAATGAGGCGCGCAATTCCATGTTGGAGCACGGGCGGGCGGCAGGGGCGCGGTGGATCCTGCCATGGGATGGCAACCATTTCGTGACAAGGGAGGCGTGGCACCGCATCGTGGCCGCGGCTGACCGCTATGAGGCGCAGGGAATCAGGGTGTTCAAGGTGCGCGCGCTTGAGGGGGGGGGGGGTGGGGGGGCAGGCAGTGAAGGCATGGAGAGGGGAGGCAGCGGTAGGGGGGTAGGGAGCGAGTGGCTTTGTTTTCTGGCAGATGATGGTCGTGTTAAAGCCCGCTGCCCAAATTGTTCATACGCAGTGCGTATGAACGTGAGCAGTGGTTTTAGTGAAGCCATAGAAAATATCGCAAACCCATGAAATATTGCTGTCATAACTAGAGAGGTGATTGCTGGCAGGCAATCAGAAGCATCTGTTTTGCTCGATGAATCAATCCCGTTCTGGCTGCTGAAACAGGTTTGGTAAAATCCCTTGAATTTTGGGCCATCTGATTAACGTAAGACCGAT